CATTAAAACTGGTTCCCAATAAATAAATAAATAAATAAATAAATAAATAAATAAACCCTGCTTCAGGCACAGGTGGCCCGCAGGGTGGTGTGGGCATCGGCTCACGAAACTCCCTCCTCGCAGGAGGCACCGATGCCTTCTAGCCAGGACTTCTGCACCTCACACCCACACCAAGGTGGGTGAGCTGGCTGGCTGGGACGGTGGTCACCATGCTGTTGATCAGGTTCCTGGTTCACCCTGGTAAGTCCATGCTCAGCTAATAGATGCATCTGGTAAAACGTGCATCTGAATAGGTTACTCCCTTGCAATGGAACATTCTATGGCGCCCTCTTTCCCTGAGGGGTGACGTCAGTATCTTAAAATGATCTACAAGATGCTATGAGTCTGACACCCACCTCCCTGTGACCTCAGTACTGACCATGTTCCCTCTCCCTTACCGCACCAGGTGCAGCGGCCTCTTTGCTTTTCCTGGGACAAGCCTGCTTGGGGGCCTGCACCTTTGTGCTTCCCTTGTCTATAACATTCTCCTCTGATTCTCTCCCTGGTTCACCCGCTCAGCCTCATCTTTATCTCAGTGTTCCTTCTTGGCAAGGCCTTTCCTGGCTACTCTGTTTAATAATCTGCAGGGTCGGAGTAGCTTGGCAGCCATGCACTTTCCTGGCCTGCACAAGGCCCTGGAGGCTCTGATTCCACTCCCAGCACCAGACATGAAATGAAAGGATTCCCACAACCAAAACCCACAACCTTTCCCTGAGTCTCTTGCTGGTTTTTCGCCCCAGCATGTATCACCTTGTAACATATTACACATTATCTCAAACTTTTTAGTTATAGAAGTGTGCAAGTACGAGCCAGCATAGTGGTGCATACCTCTAATCCCAGCGTTCTGGGGGGCTGAGGCAGCAGGATCTCCAGTTTGAGTCTAGATCGAGAGAAACTTAAAATAAAACAGAAATAAAATTTTTAAAAACTGAGCTGGGTGTGGTGTCGCAGGCCTGTAATCCCAGCACTGGGGAGGCTGAGGCAGGAGGATTGTTTCAAGTTCAAGGCCAGCCTGAACTGCATAGTGAAACCCCATCTCAAAAAATTTTTTTTCTTTTAAATTAAAAATGGGTTAGGGATGTAGCTCAGAAGGAAGGCCCTGTTTCAATCCCCAGTTCTAGAAAGAAAAAATACTTGAAATATAGAGAAAATGGAAGGCTAACAGCACTCACCTCTACAACCCCACATTGTACACCTGAGCTGTTCCGAGAGTAAGATGTGGACTTCTTGCTCATGGTCTTTCCCTGCTAGGACTCAAGCAGGGATTTTTGCCTGTTTCGTTGCCTGCAGTTTGATCAGCACCAAGAACACAGGTAGCCACTTGGTGAGCACCATAGTTTGGGGAAGGAAAAGACAGGACAAGTCCTAATTCCACAGCTCCTCACGTCCTCTTGTACAGCCTCAGCTTCCCCATCTATAAAATGGGGCCGTGGGGCTACTTCTCCAGGTTGGTTTTTTTTTGGTCTTTTTGAGACAGAGTCTCGCTATGCAGTTCAGGTTGAATTTGAGCTCACTTTATAGCCCAGGCTAGTCTCGAACTTGCAATGATCTTCCTGCCTCAGCCTCCCAAGTGCTGGGATTACAGGCGTGTGCCACCAGGCCTGGCCTCCAGGTTGTTATGAGGATTAAAAGCAAAGGGCACAGAGCTGCACCACTAGCACGTTAGTTCCATTGCTCTTCCTTCCTTGCTGCTGGGGACTTGGTCTGATGTCCACAGAGGAGCTCGCAGGCTGGCTCTGCTCATGTTTCCAATGCAAAACCCAGCACAAACCCTTTACAGTGCCAGTGCTTTCAGCGCCACCTAAAACAGTGGCACCTCACTGCTCGGCACCCTTCGGTTCTGGGAGGTGCAGTAAGCAACAAACAGGACGAGAACCAAACACAGTGTTTTGGTTGGAAAGGGCAGCAAGTCTGAGGCAATCAGGACTGACAAGTTCTACCCTGACAAACAAATTACGGACTGTAGGGACAAAATGTTTGCATCAAAAATGCATCAAATGTCAGGCATGGTGGCGCACACCTGTAATCCCAGCACTGGGGAGGCTGAGGCAGGAAGATCGTTGCGAGTTCGAGGCCAGCCTGGGCTACAAAGTGAGCTCAAAGCCAGCCCGAACGGCACAGTGAGATCCTGTCTCAAAAAGACCAAAAAAAAAAAAAAAAAAAAAAAAAAAAAAAAAAAAAAAAAAAAAAAGCATCAAGTACCAAATTCCATTGGTTTCAAAGCAGCTGAGGAGCAAAGTAGGACTGTAATCCCCTACCTAGGGGATTGATTTATCCAATCATCCAACCATGTTTGGTTTTTGTTTTTTTGAGACAGGATCTCAATGTATAATTGACTTGAACTTAAACTGGCCTCAAACTCGTAGTGATCCTCCTGCCTCAGCCTGCTGAGTGCTGGACCACTATGCCTGGTTGACTTTCCCAGGCCTGTTCTGCATTTCAGACGAAACTGTGGGTCCAGCTGCTGAGCTTGTACTGTAGACACAGCCTGAATACGGAGCAGGCGTCTCGTGAAGAGTGGCACTCATCTTGTTAACCCTGTGGACTGTCTTAGGTCTCTTTGCGTGGTATTGTGTGGAATGCCTCGTACCAGGACCTTGCACTTGAAGGCATGTGCTTGTGCCACTGAGCTATATCCCCGGCCCACACCTGGCCTTTTCCAAGCTCTCAGGTAACCATTGTTCTAACTGCACTTGTTTGGGCTGTGGAGGGCCAGATATTTTCAACTGAGAATTCTGAATCTTCATCTTTTTCTTTCAGATCCAATTCTTGAGCAAATTCCTAAGCAAATTTTAAATCTTAATTTAAGGGGACAGTTTCTCTATCTGCAAAAAAACGGGACAAGAGCCAGGTGTGGTGGCGCATGCCTGTAATTCTAGCACTTGGGAGGGTGAAGCAGGAGGGTTGCTGAGAGTTCAAGGCCAGCCTGGAATACAACCCAAAGATGATGAAAGTGAAGACCCTTTGTATCTGGTGAAGGTCTGTATGGTGATACTGCGGTTAGTTTTATTAACCTGTGTTATTCTGAACTAAATGTTGCACCGCGGGTTGTACGGGTCACCTCCAGACTTGTAACTTTGGATGGGGATTCCAGCTGCTTCCCTTTCCATGTGGACAGAGAAGAGCCAGGTAGATTCGCTCAGGCCTAGGGTTGGGCGATCATCAGGAAGCCAGGAGAGAGGGGGAAGGCAGGCAGAGAGGGCACAGGTCCTGAATAGTTAGTAAACTAAAAGTAAGGGGTTAATCTGAATTCAAGCCCCGGTAACAAAAAATAAAAAAAAAAAAAAGTCAGGGGCTATGTTATGTGAGTTAGCATACCAGAATGGACAGTCAGGGCTTAATGAAATGCAAGACACAAAAAAATAGGTCCTTCTCTGTAAACGGGGAGCTGAGGAGGGGTTGAAGGGAGGGTAGGGGGATAGGGGAACAAGTTATATCATGTACGGGTACAAATCCTCTATGATGAAGGTGATGGTACCAAAAAAATCTAATGTAAAAAAAAAAAAAAAAGTCCTTAACCAAATGGGAGAGACCTTGGAGGAAGTGAAATACACATGCAGCAGCTTGCTTTCCAGAGGTCAACGGTGTGCCTGCGAGGCGCATTCCTGCCTTCTGTCTGGTACATGTACACCAAAAACTGTATAGAAAGCCAATGGACCTAAACGTCTATGATGTTCGTCTTGTGGAACACTCCCCTCCGACTAGCGGGGAGCTTTTCTTTTATTCTTTCTAATAAACATGCGTTTGGCCATTCCCCACCGCTGGCTGTTTGCTGTTTTGTAGGCTTCTGTCCTCGTTGCCCCAAAACAAAGACCCGAGGGCTAGACGGATCCGGTTACAATCTGGGAAAGGAAAGGTCCCAGCACAGGCGAAGGGCGTCTCTCCAATATACCTCCTCATCGTATTTTTTTGTTTCGTTTTATTTTTTTGCTACCGGGAATCGAATTCAGGATCTTGTGTTTGTCAGGCAGGCGCGGTGCCACTGAGCTACATCCCAGGCCCTCTCATTGCGTTATTTTATTTATTTATTTATCTATCTATCTATCTATCTATTTATTTATTTAGGTACCGGGAATCGAACTCACGACCTCAGGCTTGCCAGGCAAGCGCTTATACCGCTGAGCTATATCCCCAGCCTCATCGCGTTATTAATCACCACAGTGGCCGTTTACTAAACTCCACTCTGCGCAGACCAAAGGGCTCCTTCATCTCTAATCTCACAGCATCCCTGGAGGTGGCACCGTACCTATTTCTCAGCTTCCCAGGCCTTTGCTCAAGTTCCAACTAAAAGTGCTTAGAGATCGGCTTAGGATAGGGTTCTCGGACAACGAAGAACGTTTTTTTGCTTTTTCGGTTTTTTTTTTTTGGTTTTTTTGAGACAAGGTCTTGCTATGTAGTTCAGCCTGGCCATGAGCTCTTTGTAGCCCAGGCTGGCCTCGAACTCGCAATGATCCTCCTGCCTCGGCCTCCCGAGTGCTAGGATTATAGGCGTGCGCCACACGCCCAGCTGCAATAACTTTTAATACTATACTCACACTAAAAATTTATTGGTTGTTTAGATGAAATTCAAATTTAACTGGAAGTCCGTATTTTTATTTGCTATATCTGGCAACCCTACTTTGGGAGTAACCTCCAAAGTCAAAGCCGGTTCTTCCCTGCTTTACTGTACGGCTTTGTTGACTTTATTTTTATCTTTATGAGCAGTCATTAACAGTAAGTTCAGACCCAGGGCGCCTGACGGTTTTAGGAGTTCCAGGGCAAAGTGGGGCAAGGCTCCTGTCCTTGACCAACATGTCTGCTGACGAGCCTCACGAGGACCTTCCGCCCGACACAGACATGGCCGCAGCTCGCCACCGAGGATTGGCTCCTGTTGAAAGCCCATCCCCCCCGCACTGACGAAAGCCCCTTCCATTGGGCAGTTATTCAAGATGGCGGGGCCCCGCCTCCCGTTTGTCCTCGTGCGCTTGGCTTGCGGCGTGGGGGCAGGGCCGCAATAGCAGCCGGGACCTGGACTCCGGTGATTGGCGGAGGGCGGTGGCTGGGCCGTCACGTGGTCCCCGACATGTTTGTTTGCGGAAGTAGGGGGAAGTAGAGGTGCTGAGTAAGCCGAGGTGAGTGAAGGCTCAGGGAAGGCGGGGCCCCCCAAATCTCGGCGCTCCAGATTGACTCCGCTCGGACTCTCCTTTGGACCTTCGTCATGGGCCCGACTCTGCGGCCTGTCCTCCACTGACCCCGTGTTACCCCTCGAGTGTCCCTGGCTTGCGCCCCCAACTTCCATTCCATGACCACACTGGTCTCATCTCCGGCTGTGCTCCCGCGGAGAGCCCGATCTCTCCCCTGGGCCCCTCCCCAGAACCCCGGTCCCCTCCTTTGTCTCTCGGTCTCTCTAATTTCCTGAGTCAACCAGTCAGCTCCCGTCTCTCAGTGCCCCCCGTTTTCACCCTAGAAGCCGTTGGCTCCGAGCTTCCTTCCTGTGCCCTTCTAAGTGTTCCTCAGCGTTCCCACTGGATCCCCCACTTCCTCCTTTTGTTCCCCAGTTCCCCGTTTCTGCTTCCCCGCTTGTCCTCTCTCGCGGGGCGCTAGATTTCATCCACCCTCGCATGCTCCCCCCTGCCCCACGGCCTAGTCACCCGTGTCTCAGCCCCCACTCCTGTGTCCACTCTCTGCTCCCACAGAAGCTGGTGACAGAGCTTGTGACCCTGGTGACCGTGTGGCTGGATGTGGGCGTGTTCGTGGGCGTGTTTGTGGGCCGGGAGGGGCCAGGGATCTGTGCCCGTTTTCTTAATGGGCTGTGCACATGACCCCAGACAAATACCTTTGCTTCCCCTAAGCTTCCCGGTCTTTCCCTCACCTGCCCTTTTACCAGCGCAACAGGATGTTAGACAGGTTTAGTTTGGCAGCGTCGAAACTCCACCCTTGGGCCGAATGCAGCGTGTTTGTTATTGTCTCTGCCGTAAAATGTTCCTGGAGTTAGGTGCTTATTTTCCGTCCAGGTCTCAGGTTCCTCATCTGTGGTGGCGGGTGGAGGTGGGGCTAAATTTCCTGTTCATGTAGGGCTGCCGTTGGCTCAGCATTTTAGTAAGAAAATGTAAAAGGCAGAGTTTTTTTTGTTGTTTGTTTGTTTTTAAAGAGAGGGTCTTGCTCTGTAATTCAGTTCCTAGATTACAGGCTAGCTTTAAACTCACTGTGTAGCCCAAGCTGGCCTCAAACTCCTGGTTGATCCTCCTGCTTCAGCCTCCCAAGTGCTGGCGTTGCAGTGTGTGTGCCACCACTCCTGGCAAAGCTCTGTAAGTGGGATGGCCCTGAACAAATATGCATGGCTTTGCTGTTGTGACATAGGCAGGATGGAAAGAAAGGGAAAGAGGATGGGATAAGAAAAGAGATGAATAGAAAATACATTGTCTTTCATTTATCATCTGGTAGTGCTTGTTAATCACTGCCTAGGAATCAGGTGTCCCCCCCGCACCCGGAATGGAACTCATGACCTTGCACTTTCCAGGCAGGCGCTGTGCCACTGAGCTAAATCCGCAGCCCCTAGGCTCTTTTATATGTTATCTCCAACATTCGTTCATTTATTCACTCAGTAAGTACGAATTGGCTCACTCATGTTCCCTGCTACCCTTGATGTAGCCAGCATTATCTCCCTCTAACATGAGGAAGAGGGTGAATGAGATGCCAGGGGTCCACTGATGAGGCTGGAGCTGGAATCTGAATACACTGGAGTTCACTCCCAATTTACAGTGGTTTGACTTGATTTTTTGTTTTGTTTGTTTTTGTTTTGTTTTTTTCCAGTACCCGGAATCGAACTCACGACCTTGCGCTTGCCAGGCAGGCGCTGTGCCGCTGAGCTAAATCCCCAGACCCATTGACTTGATTTTTGGATTTGATGAGGGAGTGAAGGGGCTGTGCATCAGCAGAAACTGTACTTTGAGTTTTGAATCTGGGTGTTTTCCGGGGGTTTGATCTTCTCAGTGTTGGGCAAGGGTAGTGAGACGCTCCTGTCGGCCCTGCAATCACGAGGAGACCTGCCGTGCACTGTGCTGTGAGGTTGTGATGTTCTGTAGGTTAAAGATATTAAATGCATTTTTGGTTTGCGGTATCTTTGAGTGACGCTGTGTTTATCAGAGCGGAACTCTCCCTTAAGTCAAGGACCACCTTACTGTGTGTGTTGTGGCCCCAGATCTGTGATTGTCCACCTGTATAAAGGTTGCTACTGTTGTCTCAGTGCTCAGGGGACTTTTCCTCTTGTGGGTCATTTTCTTGTTAGATGATGGTGTCCCTGAAAGGGAATTTCCTTTGTACTCAGCAGGATGACATCACCAAGAAATAGAGGAAGGAAGAATTTAAATGCTGGGTGTCTGTCTGTCTTTCTGCCTGTCTGTCTGTCTGCGCACCTGCCTAGGGTGTGCAGAGAGGGAGTGGGGAGACAAGGAGAAGTAGAGGAAGGGGTGTTAGGGGCTTCACTTTGTGTATGGTGGCTTCCTTGGAGTACATGTTCAGTGTCTGTCATAGCAAGTTTTGTTTTGTTTCTTATTTTTTTTTTGCCTTTTGAGACAGGGTCTCGCTGTGCAGTTCAGGCTGACCATGAGCTCACTTTGTAGCCCAGGCTGGCCTCGAACTCGCAACAATCCCCCTGCCTCAGCCTCCTGAGTGCTGGGATTACAGGTGTGCACCACTGTACCCGGCTTAGAAATATGCTTTTTTTTTTTTTTTTTTGGTACCAGGGATTGAACTCAGGACCTCGCACTTGGCAGACAGGCGCTTGTGCCGCTGAGCTATATCCTTGGCCCTATTTTGTTTTGTTTATACTTGATCTTAGCCAAAAGGCTGAGAAGCAATTTTTATGTCTTGTTTTTGATTTTTGAGATAGGGTCTCAGCACGTAGTTGAAGCAGGCCTTGAACTCACCAGGTATCCCAGGCTGGCCTCGAACTTGTTGCCATCCTCCTGCCTCAGCCTCCCAAGTGCTGGGGTTACAGTTGTCCATTACCACACCCAGCTTTGTCATAGTGGATTTTTTTTTCCTGTACTGGGAATTGAACTCATGACTTCATGCTTGCCAGGCAGGTGATGTGATGCTGAACTATACCCCTGGCCCTATCATAGTGGATTTTTTTTTTTCTTAGTAGATTTTTGTAGGGTTGTTTTAAATCTCTCTCCTTCGCCTCCCCTCTTCTTCCTGTCTTATTTTCTGGCAATTTCACCCAGTCTTATAACTTCAAGTACTATCTTTACTGTGACAGCCCTCAAGTTTTTCTTTGTTTTCTCAGGGTCAGACCCAGGGCCTTGTGCATATCAGACAAGCGCTCCAGTGCTGCGCCATGTGCCCAGCCCAGCAAACCCCAGATGTATTTCTCCAGTTTGCTGCAGATCTTTCTGCTGAAGGATAGACTCACACAGTTAGTAGCTCACTCTGCAACTCCCTGGCATTTTGCACTGAAAGTATTTAGGGTTGTTCCCTTCTAGTCCTTAACTCACCCTTCGCCAAAACCTGTCCCTCCCACTCTTTTTCTTATGTTAGGAAGCACAAGCCTGGCGTGGCGGCACACGCCTGTAATCCCAGCACTCAGGAGGCTGAGGCGGGAGGATTTTCATGAGTGTGAGGCCAGCCTGGGCTACGTAGTGAGTTCAAAGCCAGCCTGAACTACACAGCAAACCCGATCTCAAAAAAAAAAAAGGAAATGGAGTTTTATTCTTTCAGTTGTAGACCAAAGGCATGGGATAACCCTTGATGTCTTTTTTTCCTACCCCACATCCTGTCAGCGATCCATTAAAATGCCAGATGGCAGGACAACCCTCAGGTGAGACCCTCACTTCCTCTCAGGGCCTCATTCTCCCCGTGTGCTCAACAGAGGTCATCATCGCCCCCTCCGAGGCCACCAGCAGAAGTGAATCCCTGTGCTGACCGGAGGGTGGTGGCTTGTACAAGGACAGAGCCTGTGTGGTATCACACCTGTGTGCTGGTTTGAGGCAGAGCTACAGTTGGGGCGACAGTGGGCTTGGTGTGCTGGTCAGAACCATGCCCTCAGCCTGCTCTGTCCCAAGAGGGTGGCAGGAGGGATCGGCCACTCAGGAGAGTGTCACTTTCCTGCTGCAGGCACCCGCAGCCATTGTTTCAATCATGGGACATCCTGTCACAAGTGGCAGGCTCTGGGGCCCTGTTTCCACTGCGGGCTGTTCTCTGCTCCCAGAACCCGCATGACCCAGCCTGTGAGGTGAGGTCCTGGCTGCTGTAACTGTCCTGCCCCTGGGGCATCAGCTGTCATCTTTGGAGGGGAGGAAGCACAGGGCCTGCTGGAGCAGGAGGGAGCTCAGCTGTCAGCACCTGGTGGGCCGTGAGCAGAACTTTCCAGAGCAGAGCCTGGCGAAGGACTGGCCTGGCACTTGGTGTCACTGAGAAGGTTCTCTGTGACTGCTGAGCGCCCAGAGCAGTTAGGTTAGCATGGCCTGCATTTGAGTCTGAACTGCATTGGTGGCTGGGGACAGGCCTGCTGGCTCCATTATCCCCTGCCAGCAAGTGAGGCATGGGGGTGCCAGGACTGTGAGGGTCGTTACAGAGGTTCATTCCTTTGTTCTCATCCGTTCAATCATTCAGTCTTTATCAGACACCACTGTGAGCCGGAGCCAGTGTGCTCTCTGCTTGGGGAATAAATAAAAGCCAGCAGGGAGGCCGTCGCCACTCCTCCAAGTTGGGTGTGTGCAGGGTGGCATGGGGGTGCTGAGAAGGTCTGAGGAGCAGAGGGGGCAGAGCAGGGCTTTGGGAGGAGGTGACTGCTGAACAGAGCCTTCGAGGTCAAGATGGGATTTACTCCTTGTCAAAAGGTCTCTTACTGAGTGTGTACTTCAAGGTAGGTTAAGAAAGTGAGGAGTCGTCTGGCATAGTGGTGCACACCTGTAATCCCAGCACTCTGGGAGGCTGAGGCAGGAGGATTGTGAATTTGAGCCCAGCAGGGACAATTTAGAGACTTCCTGAGACCCCTCAGTTTTTTGTTTTGTTTTGTTTTGTTTTTTGTTGTTTTGAGACAAGGTTGTTTTTTTTTTTTTTTGTACCGGAAATAGAACTCAGGACCTTGTGCTCCCCAGGTAGGTGCTTGTGCTGCTGAGCTACATCC